AGTCAGAATGGCCGTCATCAAAAAATCTACAAGCAATAAATGCTGGAGACGGTGTGGAGAAAAGGGAACCCTCTTGCACTGTTGGTGGGAATGTAAATTGCTACAGCCACTATTGAGAACAGTATGGAGGTTCCTTAAAAAAACTACAAATAGAACTATCATACGACCCAGCAATCCCACTACTGGGCATATACCCTGAGAAAACTATAATTCAAAAAGAATCATGTACCACAATGTTCATCGCAGCTCTATTTGCAATAGCCAGGACGTGGAAGCAACCTAAGTGTCCATCGACAGATGAATGGATAAAGAAGATGTGGCACATATATACAATGGAATATTACCCAGCCATAAAAAGAGATGAAATTGAGTTATTTGTAGTGAGGTGGATGGACCTATAGTCTGTCATACAGAGTGAAGTAAGTCAGAAAGAGAAAAACAAATACCTTATGCTAACACGTATATATAGAATCTAAAAAAAAAAAAGTTCTGAAGAACATAGGGGCAGTACAGGAATAAAGATGCAGACATAGAGAATGGACTTGAGTATTGAGGACACGAGGAGGGGGAAGGGTAAGCTGGGACGAAGTGAGAGAGTGGCATGGACTTATATATACTACCAAATGTAAAATAGATAGCTAGTGGGAAGCAGCCCCATAGCACAGGGAGATCAGCTCGTTGCTTTGTGACCACCTAGAGGGATGTGATGGGAGGGTAGGAGGGAGATGCAAGAGGGAGGAGATCTGGGGATATATGTATATGTATAGCCGATTCACTTTGTTATACAGCAGAAACTAACACACCATTGTAAAGCAATTATACTTCAATAAAGATGTTAAAATAAATAAGGAAATAAATTAATAAATAAAAAGAAAGTAAAGCCTTTTAAAAATACATAATATATATATGTGTGAGTACAGGTTTATATACACTGTATATATACATTATATATATATATACACACACACATATAGTGTGCGTATACACACCTTGAATGGAAAAGAATTGGCCAGACTGAATAGAAGTACACAACTGTCATAGGGAGCCATATTCTAGATAGTGTTCCATCTCTGTATGTTCACCAGCCTTCTCTCATCACTCACTACCTATGTGCTTTAGGAAAGAGAGATTTATGGACTAATGTAAAGAACTAAAGCTGTACAGACTTTGACAAATAAGGTAGGAGATCTCTTCCTGATCATCAAATGGCTGGTGGCTCAGGGCACTGAGATTTGTTCACAAAGAATGGAGGGCACAGAATAAACATATTTCATGTTGTGATAGATTCAAGGTTTGTTTATAGTGTTCTGAGGTAGAATTATAGAAATGATTGGTAGTTTCTCTGCAATGAAATTTATTATTTTTTTAATAAAGAGAAATGAATCAATGAATTTTATTATTTTAATGAGTTTTAGCTGCAAAGGTGCATAGAGAGCATCTGGTCCAGTGGTTCCCAGCTCAGGTTCCTGAACCACTGGGGTCCTCTGAGCTAGAAACAGGGGTGACAGTGGTGATGGTTCTGTAAGCCATTTTCAGAAGCTTAATGGAAATCATACATTTACCTGCATTATGACCACAAGGTCTGTTATTGAACAAATGGAGTTTGTTTGGTTTATTAACTCTCAATATACTGTCAGGGTCCATTTTAATGTTTTAGTTTCTTCTTGAGCAGTTCTTACTATTTTATGTAATGATTGATATTCATTACTTATTTTTTCATAGACATCTTCCAAAGAACAAAGAGAATTTGCTTTAGAAAAGAAAAAAAATTCATATTATCTTAGCATTACCATACTGGCCAATTGGACCCTTTCATAAATCTAAAATACATTTTGGAACCTTAGTGATCTTATTTTTCTTGCCTCTTGAAATATTTTACTGTTTCATCATCATAGATATTATTTCATCACTTTTCATTAACTGTTCTCTACTATGAACTCATGAATCAATGAGTAAACAGTATATCTCTAAGAATGAAAAGGACATATGGTATTTTCATACAGTTAATCTTTCGCATAATATTTTGTGATAGGAACCTTGAAAATTCTGTTTGCTAAAATGACGTGACCATATTTTTTTTCTTTTTTGATGGTATTTATATACCAAATTTTATTTCATATAGTTTGTAACAAGACAACTGCTGAAGGCAAAGGCAAAGACAAAGATGATTGAAAGGAAATAGATTATGTAGAAATGAAACAATTTATTGGATTGATCACATTAATTGGTAATTATAAATTTAATAATGAAAATGTTTTACAATTATAGATCAAAGAATATGGCTCTGCCATCCTCTCTTCAACAAAAGTGTGAGCCATAACAGTTTTTTAAAGTGTTACATTTTGATGATGCAAATACAAGAAGAATTGGAAGTAATGATAAGCTAAAACCTATTAATAGAAATGTATTTGTAATCTAGAATCACTTGGGTGGTGCAGGTGTGAGAAAAAACAGAAATAATCAGTTAGAATTTATTAAAGATGTATTTGAAATCTGGAATCAGGATATATGAAATGCTTATATTTAAGGCTTGTACATGACAAATTCATGATGCACAGTTGATGCACAGTTAGCTGCATTCAAAGGATGTAGCCCATTTTGGGTGAATATACCTTCAAAACCAGGAAAATAGTGGAGTATAATGAGTTTACTATACTTTGTTATTAAAGTTCCCAGTAATTAATTTTCTTTCTTTTTAAATAACAGCTTTATTGAGATAAAATTCACATATCTAAAATATACTTTTTAAAATATTTCAGTGCCTTTGAGTGTACTCACAGAATTGTGCTACCAACAGTGCTATCTAATTTTTAGAACTTGTTCATCATCCTGAAGAGATACCCCCATACCCATTAGTATCACTCCCCATTGTCCCCTCCCCCCTCAGCCCATGGCAACCAGTAATCTGCTTTGTCTTTAGTGATTTGTCTGTTCTAGACATTTCATATAAATGGAATCATAATATGTGTTCTTTTGTGACTGATAACTTTCACTTAACATAATGTTTTCAGAGTTCATACATAGTAAACCATGTATCAGTGTTTCATTCCTTTTTATGGTTGAATTATATTCCATTATATGTGTATACCACATTTTGTTCATTCATCAGTTGATGGACATTTGGGTCAGTTCCACATTGGGGCTACCATGAATAATGCTGCTATGAACATTCATATACATGTTGTTGGGTGGACATATGTCACTTTTATTGTGTACATATCTAGGGTCATATGGTAACTCTTTATTTTACATTTTGAGGAATTGCCAAAATGTTTTCTGAAGTGGTTGCACCATTTTACATTACCAAAAATGTATAAGGGTTCCAATTTCTCTACATCCTTGTTAACACTTATTACTGTCTTTTTAGTTCTAGCCATCTAACTGGGTATAAAGTGGTAGCTTATTGTAGTTTTGGTTTGAATTTCCCTAATGACTAATGATGTTGAACATCTTAGCATGTGCTTTTTGTCCATGTATATCTTCTTTGGAGAAATGTCTATTTGTATCCTTTGCTTTTTTAAATTGAATTCCAGTAGTTGGTTTTCAACATCTCTTATTCTTCTGTAAATTATTTGAAAGTAACTTAAAAATATAAAAATGGTTCATTGGTAGTAACCATTATTATTAATAAATGGTAATAATTTTTTCTTGGTAAATTGAAGGTTAAATTTTTTCAAAATATAAAATCTGTTTTGGAGAAAAATTTAAAATGCAGATGCTGGGAATCTCTCATTTGCCTTCTCTTTACAGATGAAACACTTGAGAGCAAGATTGAAGTCAAACAGTTAAATATCTAGAAAAACCTTGTCTCTTAGTTTCTGATCTACTCTTTATTTTAGTTATCTTTGTCTAACACCATGGTCTTAGTATTATTTGGTGTACAATATTATATGTTACAGGTGTACAATATAGTGATTCACAATTTTTAAAGGTTACACTTCATTTATAGTTATTATAAAATATTTACTATATTCCCTGTGTTGTACAATATATCCCTGTAGCTTATTTTATACCTAATAGTTTGTACCTCTTAATCCCCTACCGCTGTATTGCCCCTACCCACCTCCCTCTCCCCACTCATAACCACTAGTTTGTTCCCTGTATCTGTGAGTCTGTGGAAGCATTTTTTTTAACATGGAAGAAAAATCAGTGTCTACTTGGGTCTTGATTTTTATATTTTCATCTTTTATATTACCGTCTGCTTTTCATGACTATCCTCCTAAACCAGTTTTTATGATGAACCATGGTTTCAAGCTATTGTATAATGGTGTCACTTGCTAATTTGTGCTGTTGGGAAAGGGTTTGAGCCCTCATCAAGGGAACTTCTTGTGGCAAAGTGGGCAAAGCAGAACAAGAGCCACAGCCACAGTCCCGTTTTTGGTGAGCTCGTAAGGTCCCTGCAGAGTTCTCAGCAGTGACATGGAAGGCTTGCAGCTTGCTCAGTCATGCCCCATCAAGTCCAGCCTTGCCTACTCCTACCCTTTTCCGCATTCTCTTCCCCAATGGATTGTGAAAAGTAGCTCACTGAGAAGCCTAAGTAAATGTGTGTATTAAGCATTTGCTTACCTTACTGGAGGTAAGCAAACAGCCCTCCATCCTCACTTAGATACTTAATACCTTCCAGTTATACAAGGTTTAGAGATTGGGAGCTGGAGGCCAGTGTCACAAGAAGAAAATAGAAGATGCCAAGTAGACCCCCTGCCCTTATGTGTAAGTGGCTTCCTGACTTGCATTTGGGCTTTTGTGAATTTTCTTAGAGATGAGTCAGATTGTCTGATTCTAAGAACCATAATTAGGGTTTAGGTCTCTGCTCACCCCCAGTCATTCATACCCAGGTGCTTCTTGCCACTTCCCTAAACATGTAATACTCATTGAACTGTTCAGTATGTGTCCAGGGACACATTGTGGAGAAATGTAAGAAACTCCCTGTATGTGAAATAAAAGATGTTACCTGGTGTTTTCAATTATTTTAAAATTTGTTTCTTCTATCTTTTTTCTAGATATTGAAAGATATAGTAAAAGATATATGAAGGTGTACAAAGAAGAGTGGATACCAGGTAATTGTAAAACTGAAAATGTTAAAATAATCTTTAAAGGCTATCTCCCTACCCCATATTTTTTAGGACAAATTTTGTATTTTCACCATAGGAAAATAGAGTCTGGCTCTTTTCCTATAATTAATTAGCAACATATATCTTTTGAAAACTAAGATGAAAAGATTTTTATATTGTAACACAGAAGGGTTGAAGTGTTTTTTTGGAAATTCTTAGGATACTTTGTCTTTTTTTTATAAACTGGGGCTCACCAGAACCATTGGGTTTTCCATTTCCTTTTGCCACAGTCACAGTTTTAGTCTCTAATACCAGTAGTCCTCACTGCTGTGCACCTGCGTGATTTTATAGCTTCTGAGGAAAAAGCAAGTCTATTTTTATGAATATTTTAAGCCAAGTTTGTGTAACTTCCTTTCTTTCCAGCAGGCATAGACTCTTTTTGATTGTTAAGATGCCTTTTTAACAGAAGCATACCTAAGAGTTTTTTTTTTTCAACATTCACAAAATTGCTTTGGATAGAGACAAGGTGAAAGGGGGCTGCAGAGAACTCATCCAGTTCATTCATTTTATAGAAAATTAACAGTTGCCATAGAAATGAAGAGACCTGTCAGGACGACATGGACCATACTTCTAAAACCCAGGTCTCCTCATTTTAACTCACTTTCCTTTGACATCTCTGTCCTTGGTGTGTTATAGAAACTGCCTGTATGTAAATGCATAAGTTGCATTTACAGCATTATTGTTTTCCTGACTTACAGTGCTCTTTCTTTTCAGTGCTGATTATTGATAAGGTTGTGTCTCTCTGAAAACACTGTCTTAGGTCTCTCATTTCTTCTACTTCATAAACATTCATCTCTAAATGATTCTCTTTAAATACTTTCTCATGATCACCTGTGTATTGTTTATAAAAAGAAACATATTTAAAGCAAAATTTATTAGTTCAGCTAAAATAGCTTGAGATATAAATGTTTTCTGCAAAAGACACTGAGTTTTTCTTTTATTAGCAGGCAGCATTTTTTTTTTTTTTTTTTTTTGCAGTACGTGGGCCTCTCACTGCTGTGGCCTCTCCCGTTGTGGAGCACAGGCTCCAGACGCGCAGGCTCAGCAGCCATGGCTCACGGGCCCAGTTGCTCCGCTGCATGTGGGATCTTCCCGGACCGGGGCACGAATCCATGTCCCCTGCATCAGCAGGCGGACTCTCAACCACTGCGCCACCAGGGAAGCCCTAGCAGGCAGCATTTTTATCTATTTTCATGTTGCATCATTTTTCTGATTAAGCTTAAAAATGAAAAGGAAGTGACAAATTAAAGGAATTGTTTAATTAATGCAGGCAAAATTATTAATTGGAGGGAATTTACTTTTCCATAGCTATTTGTATTTTTAATTTTAAATTTTTCCTATAATTATTAGAATTGTTTATTTAGTTTTGCATGTATTAGGATTGTGATCACATATTTTAACTTTTGAAAAAAAATTTTATTACATAAGAAATACATATCAGGGCTTCCCTGGTGGCGCAGTGGTTGAGAATCCGCCTGCCGATGCAATGGACACGGGTTCGTGCCCCAGTACGGGAGCATCCCACATGCCGTGGAGCGGCTGGGCACGTGGGCTGTGGCTGCTGAACTTGTACATCCGGAGCCTGTGCTCCACAACGGGAGAGGCCACAACAGTGAGAGGACTGCGTACCACAAAAAAAAAAAAAAAAAAAAAAAAAAATATCAACTACAGGGCTTCCCTGGTGGCACAGTGTTAAGAATCCGCCTGCCAATGCAGGGGACACGGGTTTGAGCCCTGGTGTGGGAGGAGCCCACATGCCGCGGAGCAACTAAGCCCGTGCGCCACAACTACTGAGCCTGCACTCTAGAGCCCACGAGCCACAACTACTGAGCCCACAAGCCTAGAGCCCATGCTCCGAAACAAGAGAAGCCGCCACAATGAGAAACCTACACACCGCAACGAAGAGTAGCCCCCACTCACCACAACTAGAGAGAGCCGGCGCGCAGTAATGAAGACCCAATGCAGCCAAAAATAAATAAGTTAAATAAATAAATTAAAAAAAAATACATATCAACTACAGAAAACTTATAAAATAGAGTAGTTAAATAAATAACAGTTAAGAAAAACAGCTGTAATCCTAACACTCGCAAGGAATTACTGTAATATTTTGTCCCCAACCTAGAGCTTTCTCTGCACAAATATATATAAAAATATTTATATGGTAGGTTTATTTTTTAAATGGAATTCTGTATCTATTGTTTTAGAAGCTTTTTTAATTTACCAGTATATCATGAATAACTTTTCATGCCCATAAATATTTTTCTATATTTTTTGTTATGAAAATTTCTGTATTTGAAATTAATTATATAAATACTGTATCGCTGTTAAAAGAATGTTGTAGAAATTTTATAACACTGTTTCAAAGCTATTTTAATAAACTTTTTTTCTTCATAGGAGAAAATATATCATTGTTATAATTTGATCCCAGCTAAATATGTATAGTCAGATATTAAGAAACTTTATTTCCTTTGCATGAGCAACTATCATGTTCTTTAAATAGTTATAGCTAGTGCCAGTAATTCCTAGAGGAAACTGCCATTTTTATATTTCTCCTTTTGTACACACAGATTGGAGAAGACTCCCTAGAGAGTTGATGGCAAGAAAAAAATGCAAAAAAGGTACATTAACTAATATAATAATAATAATCCAGGTGGGAAAAGGTTATTGCTTAACTTCCATTTAATATGGAACTGTCAATCTAATGTTACACTCAATGTTCTGAATGCTTTTTCTTAAAATATTTTTGACATTATGATTATTTTGTTGGAGCCTTTTGTGTTGATTTTTTGTTTTGTTTTTATTTGTTTAATTGTTTTTCCTTTAATTATGGAATTTTGATGTGCTAGGAAAGACTTTTCAATTATGTAGATATTCTCATTTGCACATTTGAAAGTTTTAAAATGATTATACTGGCTATATTTTAAGTTTTTAACTAAAACATTTGGAACTGGTAACGTTTGGGAACTGTCGAATAGAACTTTATGGTGTACATAAAATATCACAGTGAAAGCTTCTGTTGTGTTGTTCTTTCATAATTCCACCGAATACAAAGTTGTTGAGCATCTACTATTGCCAGACACTGTGCTAAGAGGGATAAAACAGTGAGCAAAGTAGGAGTAATCCTCGCCCTCACAGAGCTCACAGTCAGTTGGAGTAAAGACGTTAAACGTAACACACTGTCTTCACTGGGAGGCCAGGGAAGGGTTCTTTGAGGAAGTACAATTGAACTCCAGATTGAAGGACGAGTACTAGCTTGCTAAGATGAGGTTGTGGGAGAGACATTGGAGAAATTGGGTTTTTTAATGTGTTTTTATTGTTGAGTTTTAGGAGTTCTTTGTATATTTTGGATGATAGTCTGTAGGAAAAACACTCTTGCTGGGTGTTTGTCCTTTCCTGTCACACCACTACCACATTCACGGCAATTCTGACACCAGATGTATGGAGTTTTTTCCTGCACATCAAGCCATTCTCTGTAACACCAGCTGTGTCTCCTACAATTTAATTCCGTTCTGACACTAACTGGAGTTAGCACAGGCCCCACAGATTAAGGCTTCGTCCCAGGAGACTACTCCCCACTACAGATGTCAATCACAAGTATAGTGTGTCTTCAGGTTACCCACAACTTTTGTCTGAGTTGGCTACAAATCAGAGGTTCCCATGCCCTCCACCCCCAACCTTGGATTTGATTTGCTAGAACAGCTCACAGAACTTAGGGAAACATTTACTTACGTTTACCAGTTTACTATATGATAAAGATTATGATAAAGGATACAGATGAACAGTCAGGTGAAAAGATACATAAGATAAAGTCTGGAAGGTTGCCAGTGCAGGAACTTCTGTCTCTGTGGAATTGGGATGTGCCACCTTCTAGTACATGGATATGTTCACCGAGCCAGAAACTCTTGGAACCACATACTTTGGGGATTTTTATGGAGGCTTCATCACATGGGCATGATCAATCATTAACTCAATCTCCAGCCCCTCTCCTCTTTTCCAAGGGATGGGAGATGAGGCTGAAAATTCCAGGCTTCTAATCATGGCTTGATGTTTATGATAACCCACCCCATCCTGAAGCTGCCCAGCAGCCCACCAAGTGTCACCTCCTTAGAACAAAAGACACTCCTATCACCCAGTAAATTCCAAGGTATTTAGACACATATTAGAACAACAACAAAAAAACACACTATTGTCACTTAGGAAGTTATAAGGGTTTTAGGAGTTCTGTGCCAGAAACCAGGGGCTGAGACCAATATATATTATTTTCTATTTCACACAGTCCTTTTTCAAATACGTCTTTTGAAAACATTTTCTCCCAGTCTGTAGCTTGTCTTCTTATTCCTTGACAGTGTCTTTCATACAGCAGTTTTTAATTTTAATGTAGTCCAGCTTATCAGTTCCTTTTTTCATGGATCCTGCCTTTGGCTTTGCCTCTCAGAAGTCATCACCAAGCTCAAGGTCATCTAAATTTTCTCCTATGTTATCTTTTAGGAGTTTTATAGTTTTGTGTTTTACATTTAAGTCTGTGATCCATTTTGAGTTAATTTTTGTGAAGGGTGTAAAGTCTGTGTAAATTCATTTTTTTGCATGTGGAAGTCCAGTTGCCTTTTTCTGTATTTATGTGGGTCTCTTTCTGGGCTCTCTATTTGGTTTCGTTGGCCTATGTATTTATCCTTTCACCTATACCACTGTCTTGATTACAATAGCTTTATAGTATGTTTTAAAGTCAGGTAGTGCCAGTCCTCTAACTTTGTTATTTTTCTTCAGTGTTGTGTTGGCTATTCTGGGTCTTTTGCCTCTCCATACATACAGTAGAGTCAGTTTGTCGATTTCTGCAAAATAATTTACTAGGATTTTGATTGAGATTGTGTTGAATTTATAGATGAAGTTGGGAAGAAATGATACCTTGAAGATATTAGCTCTTCCTATCCATGAATATGGAATATCTCTCCATTTATTTAGTTCTCTGATTTCATTAATCAGAGTTTTGTAGTTTTCCTCATATAGATCATTTTGTTAGATTTTTACCTAAGTATTTCATTTTGGTGGGTACTAATGTAAATAGTACTATGTTTTTAATTTCAAATTCTACTTGTCAATTGTTCATATATAAGAAATCTATTGATTTTGTGTATTAACCTGTATCCTATAACCCTGCTATAATTGCTTATTAGTTCCAAGAGTTTTTTAGCCAGTTCATTCAGATTTTCTACATGTCGTCTGTGAACAAAGGAAGTTTTATTTTTTCCTTCCCAATCTACATACCTTTTGTATCCTTTTCTTATCTTATTGTATTAGCTAGGACTTCCAGTGAAATGTTGAAAAGCAGTGATGAGAGGGAACTTTCTTGCCTTGTTCCTGATCTTAGTGGCAGAGTGTCAGATTTTTATTATTAATGATATCAAGTTTTTCACCACTAAGTATGATGTAACTATAGGGTGTTTTTGTAGATATTCTGTATCAAGTTGAAGAATTTCCCCTCTGTTCCTAACTTACTAAGAGTTTTTATGATGAATGGCTGTTTGATTTTGTCATATGCTTTTTCTGCATCTATTGATATGATCATGTGATTTTTCTTCTTTAGCTTGTCAATGTGATGGTTTACATTAATTGATTTTGGACCAGCCTTATATCCCTGGGGTAAATCCCCCTTGACTGTGGTGTATAATTCCTATTATACATTGTTGGATTGGATTTGAGAATATTTTGTTGAGGAGTTTTGTATCTTTATTCATGAGAGATAGTGATCTTTAGTTTGCTTTCTCATAATATGCGTCTGATTTTGGTATTAGGGTAATTCTGACCTCATAGAATGAGTTAGGAAGTACTCCCTCGACTTCTGTCTTTTGAAAGAGATCCCCCTCCCCTTTTTAACAGCTTTATTGAGATATAGTTGACATATAATAAAATGCACATATTTGAAACATACAATTTGGTGAATTTTGACATATATATTTTAAATGGAAGTATTTTTATTCTGTTTTATTTCAAAGCTACAACATATAAGAATATTTAGCTTGATTGAGAACAGAATTATTATATACTGAGATCTGATAGTTTACCTGCTGTCCTTTATACCCTTGGCTTTTCTTAGACAAATATATTATTTTCACAATAAAATAACATTTGCTTGAATGATACTGGTCATGTCCTAGTGGATCACAAATTTTTAGCAGACTTTAAAGAGCTGAAAAGAATATATCTGATTTGGAGGAATTAATGTTCAAATACATCCCACCAGCTGCTCATCCCTAGAATCACATATATACATTGATGATATGTAAAAGCTTCCAGTGCATCAGGATTTTCATTTGTTGAAAACGAAAACAACAAAACTTTCTTTTTCCATTCTTCTTAATATTTTTATTTCATATTGTATAATTTTTGTGTTATGTTCCTGGTAAGCTTATACTCTCTCTTTTGTTAAAATGGCCTCCCCTGATTTACATGAAAGTAGCCAATACCGAAAGAGCCAAAGACTGAAAAAGTTTGTTTCTTGAAGAACCAGCTATTGGCAGGTGTTGAAAGAAACAAAAAAATTCAAATATATGCATGTATTTGGCCAAAGATGAAAAAAAATTCATGTAAATGTTTTGGGGTTGAAACAGTCTTTTAACAACTTTTCATAATTTGACACTTCTTTCTCAATTATAAATAATACATAGCCAAAATTGCTGAGTAGACTTGAATATGCAACTGACTTTCTTGGCTAAGAGATTAATAATTTTTATAAGTTTATTTACCTGACCATGTTCTATAATATCCATTTAACAGATTTATGTGTATGAAATTTAAATAATTTGATAAAAACTCCTTAGAGAAAAAGACTTCTTGATGTAAGTTACATTCTTAGCTAGTGTTTTCTGGCATCAATATTATATATTGAGAGCTTGTTCATATATGATATTTTATGTGCTACAATTCAGATTAAACAGTCTTTGCTCTCAAGGGGAACAGAGATAGTTACCCATCATTAAATCTAACTATTTTTTTATAACTTTTGTTTGAGCAAAACCTCACTAATATGTATGTTTGGGAGGTCTGAACTCAGTGACTCCCCAAGGGGCAATTTGGTATCACATAATAACTTGTAAATTCCATCAGTTATGGGTCATGCACCACAATCTAAAAATTTCTTCTTCTATAGGTTAAATGTTAATCTTTAACAAAATTACATCTTTCTGAGCCATATTTTCCTCTGTTACCAAGTAATTTCTAGGTATTTAGTTTGATTTTGGGAAAGAATGGTAATACTTTTTGATCACCATGGGACAATTTTGTAACATATCATAGTGTTTTGGTAACTGACTAGCAGAATCTATATGTGAAACAATTCTTTATACCCTGCAGTTTCACATTAGCCTCAAAATGCAATATTTTTGATACAGCTTAAAAAATTTTGTGTCCCAAAGCTATTAAAACATTTTATTTATATTGCTTTGAGTTTTCAGATTCATATGACGGGTGTGTTCCATTTAACTATTTTAATCTTCATTACAAAGATAATGCTATGCTGCCCTGAATATAACCTCTTTCTCATCTCTTTAACCACTGGCAAATACATATTTATTCTACACTTGTATGTTTTTTAATTGAAGTATAGTTGACTTACATATTATATTAATTTCAGATGTACAACATAGTGATGTGATAACTTTTATACATCATGAAATGATCACCACTATGAGTCTAGTTACCACCGATCACCATATAAAGTTATTACAATACTATTGACCTATTCCCTGCACTGTACATTACATCCTCGTGATTATATATTTTATAACTGGAAGTTTGTTTTTTATTTTCCCAAACCTGGTAGGATTGCCCTATTTAAAATTTCCTGATCAGTGAACAGGAAGCCAGTGCAGATGATACATTTGTGGGAGCCTTTCACTCCCTCTAGTGCTTCTGCCTGAGGGAACATTGTCGCAGTTTTGGCCCTGAGGACATTAAATGCCAATTCAAAATTTCAGTAGAGATATCTGGTTGCAGTCTTAGAAAATATCCTATTAAGTGATTATCGTTTACTCCTCACCATGGAAAATTGGTGATGTGTGCTGATTTATTTTGTTCATTCTTTAGGAAAATTAATTCATCCTGCAAATTATGTGTGCCTGGTATGGCATACCAGCATGCTAGATGGCATATTAAAAGGCGAAGACATTTAATATACAATTGCTGTTATAGAAAAATGTGTTAACAGTGGTTTTACTTCAGCAGGCCCCAAATCCAAAAAGGCAAAAGATACAGGCAAAGGCACTTCACTCACTAATACTGCAGATGTATTGAAGAAAATTGAGGTAAGGTTTTCTTCTTATTATAAGAACAAACTGAAAAAATGTCATACCTCTTTTTGTCTTCTTCCACCTTTCCACCTTCTCTCTGTTTTAAATAACGTGTACACTTGGCAGAGCCAAGCCCAGCATACAGGGTAACTAGCAAGGTTTGAACATTGTTGGCTGGGAGATATGGGGGCTCCATTCTGTCCTCTCTACGACTCACCTGTCAGCTTGCCTCACCTTTTGTCACCTGACTCCTTTCCCACTCTATTCCTCTTTTCCCCTTGCATTTGGATTATGCATGGGAACGAAACATGAATGTATATCTTCAAAAACCTCTCATTTTTTTCTCTTATTGGTATATGTGTATTTTTAATGCTTTTCTTCTGCTTTATGTTTAAGTGTAGAAGATTCTATTGAGGGAAAATCCTATCTTATGGCACTTATTTTTATATCTTTATTTTTTAATATTTCAAAAAAAAGATGTAAAATTAAAAAGATTAATAAACTAAAACTATGCCCTCCCATCCCTGTCCCTAGCCATCCATTCAGTTCCTCTATTTTAGACAGCCAGTGTTAACAGTTTATATATCCTTCCAGAAACATTTTATGCATAGAAAATACAGATTTTTTTTCTTTTTAATGACAAAAAAGCAGCATATTGCACTGTTTTGCCTCTTCACCTTATCACTTAAAATATCTTGGCAATGTTTCCATGTCAGTCTGTGAAAGAGTTCCCTCATTCTTTTCTTTTTCTTCTTTTTTTTCTTTGGCTACACTATAAGAATGAACCATAATTTATTTAATCAGTAATCTATTGATGGACATTATGTTTCATCTAGTGTTTCACCATTATAAACAATGCTGCAGTGAATCCATGTTAAGTATGTGATTTCACATGTTTAGGATAGATTTCTAGAAGTAGACTTGTTAGGTCAGCTGTTATGTGTACTGTATAATATGGAAAATATGGATAAATATTGGCAGATCATTCTCCAATGAGGTTATACCAGTTTATTCCCTTTATTCCCACTATCAATGCGTGAATTACCTTACATTGATGGTGATGGTGATGATAATGATAGCAGCTAGCGCTTTTTGAGAACTTTTTAAATCGCAGGCTCTTTGATGAGCTATTTACATCCATTATGTGCTTAAGGCTTCATAACAACAAAGAGAGATGGGTATTATTATTCCTTACTTACCGATGAGGACTTCAAGGCTTTAAAACTTTTACTTGCCTGGCCAAGTTGGCATAGCTACCTGGTAACAGAAACTCATCTTTTTAAATTTTACTTTTGACCAGTACTTGAGCTGAAGATAACATGTCTGAAAATCAAGCCAGGAGGATTGTTGAAGGAATAGCAATAACTGTCAGGTTTTACTGTGGTGGAATGATGGATGAGGTTGCAGAACTAGCCATCTTGTATTGATTGAACACAGATTCTGACTGTTCTTAAAACTTCCTGGAAGGAAGTTGCTAAGATGACATGTGCTGTAAGGAAGATAGATCTGGACCTCTGGATGTGGTTTCTCATCAGAACAAGTTGTATTTCCTTATTCCCTACATTTAAATACCTTTTTTTCATTACACACTTTGTTAAAACTGGAATTTTAAATCTAGAAATCCCAATGAGTTAGCAGCTTTATTTAATAGAGCAAAGTTAGCTTCCAGATGACTCCATTATTGTTCATTTCTTCAGCAAAAGTAGTTGCAAGTTTTCTTTAATAAAACTTCTGTGATGGAGAGGGAATGACATCCAGTCAAATCTCATGGTTATTGTATGAATAATCAGACAGCAGTAAACTAATATTTGAGCTTATTTCTGTATGACATACAGGTGGCTCTGTGAGTGATCTATAGTATGTAAGCTAGAAGAACTGTTAACTGTTCATAATTCAACTGTTTTCAAAGTGTTTTCACATTGTGTTATTCACATTGTTCTTTAAATAAATCCATAAAGTAGTAGGGGTAAATAGTTATATCTCACAGAAGAGAAAATGGAGACTACTAAGTAGATGAATTAAAACTAATACCTTAACACAAAAGGAATAAAGTGATGAGACAGTGTGTATGAGATCTTTTTTCTAAATTTCATAAATCTGATATTTGTTAACTGATTTAGGTATTTTGTTGGTTTGATTTAGGTCTATGTAGTAGAAATAAAGTTGAAGTTATTTATTTAAAGATAATTGAGGTGGCAGTAGTGGAAATCAAGACCTCCTATTCCCTACATAGCACTGAATGAATTCTATATTTGAAAATATTTTTACATAACTGGTTTAAATAATTCTATTGTTAATTATTAAATAATAGCTAATAGCATGATTTTCAGATATAGCGTATACCTTGCACAGAGTTAAATAAGAATAGCACTGCAGTTCCCTTTTAACTATACAATCTTGTGGGTTGTAGGCCTTTCTACTAGGGTTTGATTAAAATAGAAAAGAAAAAAATTTCATAACTTAATTAACATTAATATGTCATCATTATATGTATGTGTTTTTATAAACACTTAAAAATCTGTAAATACTATTTTGTTTACATGTAGTTTTCCAAAGGGATTGCCAATTGGTAAAAATTACATACATTATATTGTAGTAATAACTCATATAAGGTAACATGGGTCAGTATGAAGATAAATCATCTTACGTCCATTACCTTGGTCTTATTTGTTCTACCTAAGTGGGGTAAGGTGACAGGAAGGGTAGAGTTTGAATTTTGATTAAAAATTGAGACTATCTGATGTAGTCTTTCATTGCCTTTGGTTTTCTTAAATTCAAATTTGAATGTAATTAAAGGGATTAAAAAAATATTTAAGAACCAAATGGAATAGTTAAGTTGTAATCACACCAAATACAAAATATGTTTTCTCTCTGTATGTAATCTACAGAGCAAATATCTTATAATAGGGTAGAGTATTTACAGATTTATGAATTCGTGTTCTGATTACTGATTAAGAATAATAGTGTTTTAGTTAAAGTGATCTTATGCATTAATTATGAGTATTAATATATGAAATTATTGCTGTCCCCCACCTCCTAGAAAACTGGTGAAATTCTGTCACTTGTGCAAATTAAGCATAGAAAAATTTAGCAAATGGATAGTAACAGTAATAAAAACAGGTCACTTTTTATCAAATGGAAAAAACTATTGGTAGTCATAATAGAAATATAAAGATGTAATCTTAAAGTTAAATCTCTGTCTTATGAGAAGGTGGCAGTGGTTTTAACAAGGTGGATAAGTGGAGCCATCAGGTAATCAAAGTTTCTCTAACTCTGCATCTCTTCTTTGCCTCCATTCTTAGAGTTGCTAATAATTGCTAATATTTACTGAGATTTGAGTTTTAATCTCTCTTTTCTTAATGTACCTGCCAGATACATTAAGAAACAAAAATCCTTGGAAATGGGAAGTAAATAATGAGGGAGAATAGAGATAAGAACATGGATAATCTGCAAATAGGATGGCTTGATATTATTTTAAACAGTTTCACTTAGAAACTAAAACATAGTTTGAAATGTTACCATTACATTCTCTTTTCTCCTTTCATGTTTGAAGGGAAACAAAATAACATTCTGAAAGTGCTTCTCCATAAACAGAATCAACTCAATATTTTAGAAGGAGGTAGGATAGGAATCATAAAAATAAAGCATTGGGCAGCAGAGCTGATATCACAGCATGACTCAAGACCCAGTTATGAAGTAGCAAACTCAGAGAAAATACCAGTGTAATGACAGGCCATTTAGTCCCATCTTTCTTGAGTTAACTCACGGTGTCCTAGGTGGTGGCCTGGAGGTGTCAGTAAGGGAGGGTTAGAATTAGGGTGATAGGTAGCTGTTCTCTTGAGGCTGAGCAGGTAAGTCAGAGTCTAGTGGTTTCCATTTAAATTAATGAAGCTCATTTATACCAGGAATTGGAAAAGAGAGGTGATGGTGAAAAATCAGATGAGGAAAATGAAGAGAAAGAAGGAAGCAAAGAGAAAAGTAAAGAAGGTGATGAGGAGGAGGATGACAATGCTGCAGAACAAGAGGAATATGACGAAGAAGAGCAAGAAGAGGTAATGGTCTATTCTGGGAGAGTAACAAAGTTAACTAAGCTTAAGGATGAGCTAATATGGTATATAATTAAAGTAAACCAACAAACAAAAACCAAGTTGATGGGAACCAGGGGTATATTATTATCACTGGCATCAAATTCTTGGTACCAGGAGAATTATTATAGCATTGAAATTATAGTGATACCAAATGGAATGTAGGAGGTAAAAGTAACTTGATAGGCAAATTTGAAAGTGGAAGTCCACGAATTAAGGAAATTGATCAGATTAGTTTAAGATCTGTATACATACAATTTTAAGTCAGCAATAAGGTAATTAATGGTTTAGTCACATAGGTTTGAGGGGGGACTCTGCAATACCATCAGGTTTTAAATCCCAAAGTGCATGTGGACACTATCAGAGAACATTCATAATCCAACCTCAAGTATCTCAGTCAAACTCAGTGTTTTAGATTTGGGATTTCCAACTTTCGGAAACATGGTGCATTTCAAAATAAGCTGGAGTCAGTCAAGCAGGGTAAGTTTGTTGGTCACGGCCTCTTTGGGACTTTGTAAACGTCTCATGCATTAACCCTAGGGTGAGAGTTTCTTCTGCATTGCAAGTGACCATTGTCTTCACTCCATTTCAGCTTCTCACACCACACTCTGAATCTTTTTTTTCACCTGAATTGCTCCACCTAAGAAATCTTTATTATATGCTACAAGTACTTTACATTAAATTTTGGATTCTTATAAAATTTATATTGGTGTGCTGTGAGGGGGTACAGCATTTTTATCGGTTTCCAAGTGGTTAGCCAGTTGCCTACCTCATGTACTAAATAATTTTCTTTCTGCATGGATTTGAAATTCTCTTTTATCAGCTATTAGATTCCTTCACCTACTTAGATGTATTTCTGGACTCTGTTCCATTGATCTATTTCTGAACTATCACTAAGATGTTCCAATTAATAGAAGCTTCTGATTATTTGTTAATATTTTTAGAGCATGTTACCCTTCTTTTTCAGATTTTTCCTGAATATTCTTTGGCTTTTGAAATGCTCTGTTTATAAAGTCTACTTGAGTTAAGCTGTGTTGAAATTTAGATCTGTCCTAACAAGAACAGCAAACATTAGGATTCTAGTAATTTCAGAATTCTGTATTGGGTCTTAACAGAGTCCAAAACACCACCAGTGGGTTTATATAACTATATTTCATTTAAAAAAAAACAACCAACTTTCTACTTTAATAAAGAAAGGATATATATTCTGAGTGTGAGGCTGGGTGAGTCTGGGTATAAGCAAGCTCAAAGCCTTTCCAGATTTAAAGTTACTCTTTGCTCTTTCTAGCAATTAACTAATTAATGAAAAATTACTGCTAATTAACTCACCTGATGTATATTGAGGATTTAAAGAGCATTTTGTTTTGAAGAGTAAAGTGGAGCAAATTATCTATGTAACACCTACATATAAAATTGAGAAAATATAGACTTTTTTCTTTCTGCAGTCTTTTGAGTGTTACAATTAAAGAAAAAAGCAGGGGCCCAAATGAAGCCAAGAACCATTTAAGCCATCAATTTCAACAAGTTCTCACTTTGTACCAATCTTTGTATCAAGATTACTAATCTCACAAAATTACCTTATGCGCATCATTGAACATACTTGGAGGTGCTCATGTCTAAACACAAGTGGCATATGCTCAATTTGTATCAGTATCTCCTCCTTACTCATTTCCACTTGTATGTACAAATTGCCTAGCTTATATTTTCACACAAGTGTCCTTGCCAAGATCTCACTTACAAGATGGACTCACTTGAACTCTCAACCATGCCACTCGTCCCTGGTACGTGGCCTCCGGATTCAGCCAGGTTTCCAGACTGTTGGATTTCTTGGCACCAGAGAAACCAGGCCAACTTCCTAGGGTCTTAGCTGGATACGGAAAATTAAAGTGTTTAGGGAGGACAAAGTAATGAAATACATATCTGAATAATACAAGTTACCTTTCTTATATTATTCATATAAGTCTATATATAAAATCCCACCATGCAGATACTAAAAAAGGTGATATCCAGGAGACTTTCTTTTGAGAATAGTCCCTATTTCTTACTCTATCATAATTTCTGCTGTAGATAGTAGAGATGTGGAGATTAATTTGGGGGGGGGTGAAGTAGAAGAGAATAGCTTTATTGCTTTGCTAGGCAAAGGAGACCACAGCGGGCTAATGCCCTCAAAACTGTGTATCCTGGAAATTAATTTTTTTATGGCAAATTTCAATCATTTACAAAAACTAGTGACTAGTAATATAAACACCTACAGACTCATCACCTAGCTTTAACAAATCAATTCATAGCCAGCCTTTCGGCCACTCTTTCATCCACCCAGTCTGCTCCTTTCCTCCCCACTTCAAGCCTGCAGCTGCCTTGGATTACTTTAAAGCAAATCGCAGGCATTATATCGTTTCATCCATAAATATTTCAGTATGTACTCAAAAATAAGGGCTCGGGCTTCCCTGGTGGCACAGTGGTTGAGAGTCCGCCTGCCGATGCAGGGGACACGGGTTCATGCCCCGGTCCAGGAAGATCCCACATGCCGCGGAGCGGCTGGGCCCGTGAGCCATGGCCGCTGAGCCTGCGCGTCCGGAGCCTGTGCTCCGCAACGGGAGAGGCCACAACAGTGAGAGGCCTGCGTACCACAAAAATAAAAAATAAGGGCTCTTTAACAACATCACAATATCATTATCATACCTAACACAATAAAATGTAACTCTTTAATATCATCAACTATTAAACCAGTGTTCAAATAGTTTTGATTGGAAAAAAATTTTTTGCTTATTCCAGTTGGAATCCAGCTGCAGTCCATACACTGCAGTTGGTTAATAACGCTCTTAAATTTCTTTTAATCTATATCCAAAATAGATTTTTAAATTTTTGATAGAAAGCAGAAATATCTTGAGTCATTTACACAGATAGTAGTCTTACTCAGCCATAAGAATTAGAATGTTCCCAGGGGCTTAATCCCTCTTAATTTAAAAGGAACTGAGGGGCTTCCCTGGTGGCACAGTGGTTGAGAATCCGCCTGCCAGGCTCCCGGGTTCGAGCCCTGGTCCGGGAAGATCCCATATGCTGCGGAGCAACTAAGCCCGTGTGGCCACAACTACTGAGCCTGCTCTCTAGAGCCCGTGAGCCACAACTGCTGAGCCCGCGTGCTACAACTTCTGAAGCCTACGCACCTAGAGCCCGTGCTTCTCAACAAGAGAAGCCACTGCAATGAGAAGCCCGCATACCGCAACGAAGAGTAGCCCCCGTTCACCGCAACTAGAGAAAGCCCGTGCGCAGCAACAAAGACCCAACACAGCCAAAAATAAATAAATAAAACAAATAAAAATTTAAAAAAAAATAAACTGAGGGGCCATAGATGTAATATAATATGGCATCTTCTGCATTTGATTTAGTATCTTGAGGTCTTTTCGTTTGTTTTTTTTTGGTAGGAAGCAAAAATCACTCTGCTTATGCTCAGCTATGCATTGTAACTGGAAACCTCAGTTCTCGTGTAGTCGAATGAATGTTAGTATAAATTGGCCTCGTTTCTTGAGTGTTTGTACATTTGTTTGGAGTAAGTGTTTAGTGGTTTAACTAACTAAACCATGTATCATCCCACTAAGGTATAATGAATGAGATGTATAATCCTATTAAGGTGTAATGGGCATCCGTTTATGTTCTCTCAGCTAGTTGGTGCCTGAGAATAGTAGGAGATGGTGGTCTTGAGGAAGAAAGCACAGTTAGATATGTGAAAGTTAATGTGTGTTTCAAGCATTGAAATAACAGAGACTTCTTTTAAGCCTGGCATATTTTCTAATTACCTAACTTTGATATTTATAAACATATTAAAGGGACAGCCTACATTATGTTCTTTAATGTTACTACTCATACTTTTAATGTTTACTGAGGAATATATCATTTCACTTAGGAAAATGACTACATTAATTCCTACTTTGAAGATGGAGATGATTTTGGTGCAGACAGTGATGACAACATGGATGAAGCAACCTATTAGCTATGAAATTTCTCAAAAAATATTTTTATGATACAGCTTCTGAACATTTGAACAGACTTGTTTTCTATTTTATTTCTGATAAGGAATGAGTATTTTATTTTTGTTCCTGTTTTGTTGGAAAGATACTTGTTACCAAAATATTCAGAACCACTTGGAGTTTACATACTAGTTACCTTACCAATTAGTCTCTGACATTCCTTCTCAACACCTCTGTCATCTCTCTAATGTATTCAAGTGGATTTTTTTTTTTTTGGTATTATTTGGATTAGAATGTACCTAAAGAGTTTTTGCATCTTTTAATCTATGTATTCATACTTAAACAATTTTTTCATGTTTAACTGCTGACCTTTTCTAAAACTACTAGTCATCATAACGGATTTCTATAATCTGAAAGTTGGTTTAATACTGCACATAGAGCACTTTAAATACAAAGAAACTTGAAAATAATTTTATTTTTTACTTTTACATGATATGTTCTGTGCTACTATATTATGACTACATAAACCTACCTGAGCTCTTACAAGTGCACATTTTATGAGATTAAAAATTTCGTGATTGGAAACACATGCACAGGGAAAAATGCCAATCTGAGCTAAGTAAATTTCACAGCTTACATCTTAACCAATACAAAGGCCTGGGATGCATATTAAAAATACTTGAATTGGAGGCTAACTTCATACCATACAATATATGAATCAATCATCCCACTGTAACAAGTTTGATATCTCTGAGTCATTGGCTTATGAAAAATTAGACTGAGATTTAATTTTGTACTTTATAAAAATGTAGACTAAATTCTAGTCATATAAATCTCATTGCAGTATGCATGTATGTGTAATCTGTGAGGTGTAGTGGCCTCTGTTACGTTTCACAGGCCTGAGCTCTCCAATTGATTTATATAACAATGCAGAATGAAACTCAGGTCACTTTGAAATTTAGATTAATCTTTTTTGATTCATTTAAAAACTAGCTCCCCTGCCTTTTTGTATTGGGGTGGGGGGGAGAATATCTATAAACTTCAGCCTCCAATGACTCACATATGCCAAAGATTTTCAAGGAAATTCATATTATATATTTTAAAAATGATTTATGAACATTACCCACCAAAAGAAATAAATTTTTCCCTCTTGGGAAGATACCACCCATTACCCTCTAACCTGAGAATCAAGAGCCCTAGATTCTATTTCTACCTTTACTATTAAACTCAACCTTGAAATTGAGCTTAAGTTTTCTGTGCCTTAGTTTCTTCACTTGTGAACAATTTTCTATAAAAATTGTTTAAACTCTAACCAAAGTTTACCATATGTATTCATTCTCTCACCTTGTAGAAATGATCATTCTTAATTTAAATTTAGTTCTCACCCTTTAAAAAATTGTAGATGGTAAAGTGATTGAAAACAGTTTTGAGAAACAAACATGTTTTCCTCATAAAATATATTATAATCTGATTTTCCCATCTTATTTATGGTGGGAAAAATTGGAGAAAATGTGTATTGTCTTGTGCCATTTTGTAACATGGCTTTCTCAGGAAAAAGACCACTTTCAATTGTAATATTTCTCAGATAATTCAGTATGTGTGTGAGGGCCATTATTAGTTCAGTATTGTGCTGATCCTATGTGATTTCTTATTTAAAGGAGCTTATCAATAATTTTAAAGATTCTAAATGGAAAACATGAATAAAACACTCTAAAGTATGAGCAATCTACCGTACTTCTTAGAGTAGAATCCTCAGTTTTCAGTTGTAATGGGCAAGTAGTCATTTAGGATTGATAATTAACAGAAGTTTCTTAATCTCTCACCTCCTTAGTACTATAGCCAAATACCATTTAATTTATAGAAAGCTTATCTTTATGGTTCTGTTTACTTGCTTTATTATACATATGAAGATAACACTTAAATTGGGCAAATACACCAAAGATACAGGAATCTTTCCCTGGCTTTCAATTTGTTGCCACCATTTTAGTCCTGCAGATGGTAAAGCATCTCCTATGGGCAAGGATTTCCTGGGAAGGCCCCAGCCATCTCCGTTAAGTGCATCGTCTTCCTCCTTTGGAAGATCTTATGTTTAAAGTAGACTAATTGTGAGAACAGGCAGAAAGTATTTGCAGGTTGCTTTACCAGCATGAATCTTGTTTTTCTGGCTTAAAATCCCAGAGAGTGCTAAATTATTCTATAAGAAGGCAAGCTTTAATACAGAGATTAACCTCCTACTTGTTGGTGAAGTATCTTTAAAATTTCTATATAAGATGCAAAACTGTTTTGTTGCTCTAATGCTTATTTTTCTGTATTGTTTACACATTAAATTCTTACAATAGTGTCCTTTTGTCTTATATTGTTTTCTTTGACCCTGCTGAAATATATTTGATAGAGAAAACTAATTTGTTAATACTTATTTTACCTAGTAAAATAACTGTGTATTTATTGAGCAGGGATGCCAGTATCAAATGTTCTTGAACCAACCACCATCAACAACAAAACTCTAGGTGATTAAAGTTGTGATAACAAACTAAGAGATTTGGATATTGAGAGAATGCTAAGAAACTCAGATGACCTTGTTAACCTTTCCTTCCCCACTACCTTCAGATGTACAGTATCAATGGCTTTCCTTAATTTGGTTAAAGCCTCTTAAGTTAGTAAAAACTTCTTATAAGAAAAACTGTAAATACAATTTTAAGATCAAGATACTTTTAAAAATGGAGAAAACAAGGATTACACCACAAATTCTCCATTAAATAAATAAAAACTCCAAATAACTGTCTCAATTCTTTTTGCTACTGGTATTTTAAAAAATTAATATTTTGAAATGGAAAGGTTGTTTCCGTGATAATAAAATTTACATATAAATAGACCATATTGTCACACAACCAATCTGTAACTTGCCAAGTAGGTGTGGACCAGGTCTCATGAGGCCTTCTTCCATGAGATCAGAGATTCCCCCACAAATAACATTCATCTGAAATTTTTTTCATTTCCTTTCACTTATGTACTATAAACAATCCAGTGTATTTTTTCAGTATAACAAGGGGGAATCTGAATTGGTAAATCTTTGGCAATTCAGTCTGTCTTACATAGTATCTCTAATAGTTAGAGGAGGAGAAAAGGTTTGCTTTATTCAATTAAATTAACCAGATTCCAGATTCCATTTTCGATTGAATAATAAAATAGAAACTTTATTACATTTTGCAGATCTTTTAAAATATGAAAAATGAGGGGCAAGAAGTTTTAAAAACCAGTTTTACAGATGTACATGCTAACATAACATTCTACAATTCCATGCTGCATCTGTATAAAATACATTATACAAAAGACTTATTAATTTGCATACATAAAAAGAAATAAAGCATCAGATTTCTATGATCTGACCGTGCAATATGCACATACTTGGAAGAAAAATACTGATTTCCTGAGCAACTTTGTAATTCAAAATAAGAATGATTCCCATCATAATGTACCATTTAAATACAGACTCCTAAAAACTACATCTTTACTCTGTAACACTGACTGGATCTTTGTTTTACGATATTTCTAAAACTCTAACTGTATCCTTCATATTCCCAAGTAGGTAATTTTTGTAGTAGATACTTTAAAAAGAACTAATGACTAAATAGTGGTTCATTTAAAGAACTCTTCAGGCCACTGAACAAGTAAGTAGAGTCCAGAAAAAGATAAGCTTTAAAAAACAAAAAGTCTTTGGAGAAATTAACATTACTGTCTTCTAATTCTTAACGTGGCCACCAGACTCTATAACTGATCTTAATATATCTTTTGGGGACATGAATCCTATAATTTTCTAGAAATACGATGGCAAAAAATATTTAATTTAAATGGCATCCATTAGTTTGAAACAATCTTAACCATTTGTACCCAGACTTTAAGAAAGAATCTGCCCTTTTTAAAAATAGGTTTTTCTTCACTTGCAACTCCAACTTTTTAAGTGAACCAAATGCAGTGATTCACAGTTCCGTTACTTTTACATCTGCATGTGTGTGTGTGTGTGTGTGTGTGTGTGTGTATATCTTCTAATGTAAAGCCTCAAAGTAAATTCAAATAAGGGTTTCAACACAAAAGCCACAATATCAAATAACTTTTCTTGTTTTATTAAGTTTTACAAAGTAATCTGCATTTGTTACAAATTTTGATGTATTAGTACTTTTTAAAAGCTAAAATTATTCTAAATCTATTAAATGCTTAGGAAATTTTTCTTTTAAAATGACACTTAAGGATTAGAATCTAGAATTCTATATATATAACACAGAATTCTATATATGTTATACATATATATAGAATTATATATAATTCAAATTATATTCAATTAAGTAAAAAAATATATTGGGTTGGCCAAAAAGTTCCCTCTGTTTTTTCTGTAAAATGTTATGGAAAAATCCGAAAAAACTTTTTGGCCAGCCCAATGTAATTCAAATATATGGACAAAGGAAACTAACTGCCTGTGTCATAAGGATATGTTATACTGCCTTCAAGGAATAGGACACTCTGCAAGACAGAAAAGGTTTTTAATCAAGTACATGGTATACCTCATTACTTTTTAAAAAGTTACTTATTTTATAAATCAGACTTCTCTATCACAATTTCAAAGTACCGCTAGCAGAAAGGAATCCCTGACTCCGTAATTTCATCAATTTGATGTAAACAAAGTTCTTCAAAGGACATCTAGCCCATTCTACCCTAAAATAATCTGTATTTTCTTTCTCGAAACTTGATTTTCAGCAGGCTTAATAAATACAATGTAAACTGACCAAGTTAACACTGAGCATAAATTAGAAAGATCATACTTTTCTCAAGATGCCCAAAGCACATTAAAACAATTTTTTAAATCTTAAACTAATAGAGTTAACTCAAAAAATCAATTTGCTACAAACTTCCATATTAACACTTTTTGGTAATTGTCTAAGGCCCTCTAATATATGCAAGGGCTTTAATGTTTGACATCTTTGTCCTGTCTTTCTATGATACACTGCTCCTAAAAGTACATTAAACCTCATTAAGCGTATATATTTATTCACCCCACTTTGTATCAAGACTGAAGTTTGAAATATAAAATGACTGGTCAAAAAGCTGAAACATTAAAAGTTAGGAAATAATGCCCAGAAAATTAGGTGGTATAATATATCTTAAGGTACATACTTTATTATACACAAACAGGCAAGAGAGACTCCATCAAATGAATCATTTTGATAGCATTTTAAAAACACATACTTTTAAAAACTAAATGATGGAATCAGTACGCAAATGCTTATTTAGCCAGACTCTGATCCACAACAGATCTTAAAAGTGGCACTCTTTTGACCAATCCATATACACCTTTGGCCTCTCTTCCCCAATTTGATGCTCTAGTTCAGGGAAAAAAGACCTAAGTTGAACATTTTCTCTTTGAAAAACAGAGGTTAAGGGATCAATATACAAAACAATTTGTCTGTTTTTGCTAATGCAAAAGGTCTCTTTACCCTTGCTTTTCTGCAACAGACCTCAGAGACAGACAACGAAAATGTTACGATCCCATTAACTTGTGGCTGACAGTGAAGGTGGAGACAAATTTATACAGCCTATGTTACGAATCCTATCGGACCATCTGAAATAATGCTTAATTTTAATTCTAAAAATTATACTAGTTTACATAAAGTATTAAGGCATTAAATGTAATTAAGGCATGTTATTACATGTAACACAGCAACTTATCACAGTATGTAAGGAAATATTTCCTAATTAATACTAATCTGTACATGTATAACACTTTTCATCAAAGAACAACAAAAGTGCTTTCAAACATCAGAGGCAAATATAATCACTTAAAACACAGAAGCAGAGGCAGCATTCTTTCAGAGACAAAGATAACTTTTAGGCCCTGACATAATCCAGTGTTCTAGTGACCAAATGGCAACTTCCCAACAGTTAACACATTAATTTGGGGGCTTAAAAATAATAATATATCTCAGCTTCTATTACAGACATTATACATTTCTTTCCCCTTTCTGTTCTACTTATGTTTTCATAGCGTATATACTAAATGTGGGGTTTTTTTTAAGTTTCAAAATGAAATTTTAAGTAAGTCCTATCAAATAATTTTAGAATCAAACTTTTCTGCAACTAAATATTTTGATGGTTAGTAATAAATTTTCTTCAGTTGCAGACATCTGATGCTATCATTATTCTGCATAATGAATTTACTATTAATAGACTCAAACCAAAAACAATTGCTTAAAAAATAAAATTTGAACATAACCAGTCTTGAATAAGAAAAAAATGCATTTTCCAGGAACTTCCGAGACACATATTTAAATTCATTTCTGCTTTAAACATTGATAAAACAGATATACAGATGTACTGCTTTCAGAATCAACAACTAGCAACTGTAGGGATTTTATACTCAATCCATTTGTAAATGGCTCCAAAAAACAAACAAAAAAAAGGTGAAAAACAAAGCATCTTCAATCCCCCTAAATTCTGCCTTTGAAGTGGTTATTTAATATAACTGATTCACCCACCAAATTCCAGATACATATGTGATCGCTAACACTGTAACTGAACTAACTGCTATGTTTTGTGTCGAGCAGCAGGTAACTGAGAATATTGACTATAAAGCTTATGGTCATCTTGTGGGACAAAGGGTATTCCTTTAGTTGGAGCAATTTCATTTTCCATTTCTCTCTGCTGTGATGGGGGTGTGACTCCTGAATGCAAATGTGAAGAATCCACTGTTGAATGGTGACTAACATCCACTTTAGCTAAAATTTCATAATACAGCAAATAAAATACTGGCGTTATTATGCCTACTATCAACATTATCACTACAGCTGTCCACCACCCTATTCCCCAGTCTGCTCCATAATAAGGATCCTTACGTTGAATGTTTTTGTTTTCAGGTTCAAAACGTACTTGTTGTGCTGTCAAGGCAGATACCACCTCATTAAGGTTCTCTCTTTTGGTGTCTGTACATTTTACTATTTGTTCTATGTCTCGGTCTACTTCTTTTAAAAAGCTACCAGCTGACTCACTGGAAGAAAGAAAATCATTAGCTGACAAAACTTCCTGTTGTTCTGAAAGGTACTGAACAGATGAAGGACGTGAAGTCTGTCTTCCTTTTGGAGGATAAAGTGTTTCAGTCAATGAACTAAACTTTTTTACTGGAATTTTGATAGACCTAAGGGCAAAAAAGTCTTGATCACTGATGAGATTGTTAACCCTCTTGATATCTGCTACCTGTAAAGAAAAAAAAAGCAAAATTCAACTAAATTCTAAATCAAAATAGAAGTAGTAATATTCATTCATCCCAGTTACTTTTGGAGGGAAAAAAAATTGAGCTTAATTATTAGAAGTAGTAAGTTATCACATCCAGAGAGGATTTTATATTATTTGTGGATAACAGTTCTATACCATTCTTGATCTACCAGTCTTAAGAAATCACCAATTACATTCTATAATCACCCACATATTATCAATATTAACACTAATCCTAGCTGTTTAAGTAGATTCTAGGATCTTTTGGTATTTCTCTATCATGCGCAAATATCATACTTCTGCTGCTTGTAAACAATTTGTGAAGGAAGGATTACAGATACTTATGTTCCTTCTTCTAATGTGGTGATTAGAGTATAGGCAAATGTCAACTTACCCAACTAAAAGTACCATATTTTATCAAAACCAAGATGCAATCCACTCTAAGATGTGCCATTATTTTATGTATCATTAAGGTAAAAAAAAAACCCACCAAATATTGAAGACGCCACCATTCTAACTTCAAAGATGTTAAAATGTATAAAAACATACACCTTAGAATTGATAAAATATGATAATTTGTCTCCTTCATTTGTCCCCTGAAGCCATTTTTCCCCAAACCTCTGGTGTAAATGCATTATTCAACTATCCCCCAGATCAGCCATTTTTATAAGCTTTCCTTATATATTTTATATAGTCCTCAACCTGTCTACATGTTCTCTCCACCTGCCATTGTAAGGGGAGCAGGAGAGTGTTTCTCAAGTTACCAATTACTATGCCAGGCTCTCCAACTGCCTTTAAGTTATTAATCCACCATTTCCATCAATGCTGTAAACCAAGCACTGATCATTTATCACCTGATTGATATCAGAGAGGTAAAGTGAGTCTAGGATAAAACTTAGATTTCTGGCTTGGCCAACTCGATGGATAATGATGTCACTCACTGAGATTATGGAACACTGTAGAGGGATAAAAGAGAATGAACGCAGATTTCACACATGTTGACTTTGAGGTGCTTGAAATGTGCCAAGTGGAAGATGTCCAAAGGCAGTTATAAATGTATGCCTGAAATTCAGAAGAATGATCTCAGCTAGAGATATAGATTTGTGGATTACCAGCAAAAATGGTAATTGAAGTCACAAGAGTAGATTCACTAGAAAAAGTCTAGGAGAAAAAGGTAACATAGGAAAGATCCCTGAGGAATGCCAACATTTGAGGGGTATGCTGAGTTCAGAGAAATCCACAAAGGAGATTAAGAAACAGTGCCCAGGAAAGCACTATATGATGGTGGTTAAAAGCACAGACTATCTGGGTTTGAAGCATGGTCCTGACACTTTCTAGCTGTATGATTTGGGGCAAGTTGTTTAACCTGTCTGCAAATCAGTTTCACATATGTAAAATGACACTAATAATACTACCTACCACATAGGATTACTGTGAAGATTAATGTATTAAAATGTCCAAAGAACATCTACAGTAGTGACACACAGTATGTTATGTAAATGTTAGCTGTTATTAAATTTTAATAGTAGGAAAGTCAGAAACCTGCAGAATCCAGGTTGTCAGACAGGGTTTTTAAGAGGTAGTAGTGACCTGGATTAACTGCATATTACTGATGAAGAATGAGAGTTCTTATTGGAAAAATCAATTCCTTTGAAGTGTATGTGTGGGAGGAAAAGGGAGAGAGGACTGAACAGTAACTTGGAGATGAGAGTGTAATGTTAAAGGGTGCTGTCATTTTACTACCTTGAGACTCTTTTAAGGCAAATGAAGATTCACTGACAAACCCCAAAGCCTGATCCTATTCTCTTTAAATGCTCTTTTGCCTGGTATTGTATATTCTGACTAATAACTACTCAATAATCTTTCTGAACCAGGTTTCCAAGGTTTAGCATCTACCTAGGTTATTTCTCTAAATATCCCTATAATATTTTCTCTGTTATGCTAACTTCCTTGGTTACATTTAGGATTCCAAATGTAACCTTGAGCTTTTTGTTCCTCTTATCACTGTTTTATAACAGGCATGTTTTTAATAATTCCTAAGGCTGAATATTTATAAGTGGAATATAGCACTAATTACCATATTTTTAAATGATAAATCCTTTTGTAAGGTTAATCTTTTTTTTGCTAGTTGAGCTCTGTCAAAAGGGAGCACTGCTTAACTCCCTATCTCTGCTGTATCAATTTTCCCATTATTGTGGCCAATGCCATCTTTTCCCTAACATTCAGCTGCCTTTCATCACTCTTCATTTTAATTAAGGAAACAGCAGATACACCCTGTGATTTCCCCCCCAATACATTTTCTATTGGCTTCTTCTCTTCTTTACTATAAATATTTTAGCCTAAGCCCGAATCATATTCATTGGATCATCTTCCAGTAACTTCTTTCTTGGATTCCCTCTAATTCACCAGCAGGTTCCCACCCCCCACCACCCCATTCTGCAGCACTCTTGTTAAAATCTTACAATGATGTTCTCTTACTATCTATCAAACTTTCCCTCAGTTATATTAAATCACTTCATCCTAGTCTGTGTCACTCATTTCTGAAACAGCTATTAAACTTCCTCCGTTGTCCGCCTTATTTCCTCCTTGAAATCTCCACATCACTGTCATGCCTGAAATACTTTCTCCTTCTCACTTCATTGGAAATATGATCTATTTTTAATCATTCACATGGCACTTCAAATTTCTCTTTTTCTAAGAAAATTTTCTAGGCTCATTAAAAGAAAACTAATGTCTTTCTCTAATAAAGCTGCTGGACCACACTCTTCTCTTGGATCTTCACCTTGATATTTTCAGTCTTGCCCCTAATTTTAAAGTCTTGATTACTTTCCATTATCATCCTTCTAAAGCACATTCTATAATTTATTTCTCAGTGGTCTTATTTCTCTACAAAACACATATTAACAATTTTATTTGCATTAAAGAATGAAATCAGATATTTTCTGATTTAACAATAAATAATGTTGCCATACATGAACAAGTCACAAAAAAAAACCCAAACCCAGCTTTCTTACCTCATCAAGAAATGCATTTCAATAAAATATGTATTAAACATTTAAATTAAAATTTATAATGTTTGTTTTGATCAATTGTGAATAATTGCAATAATTATTCAGGAAAAATAACACATAGAACCTCATGGTCATCAGAGACTTTAAAATTAAATAATATATATATATAAATTTATCAATATATGTGTGTGTTTCTATTGGAAAGAACTATGACAGGTAATCAATAAAAGGTTTTCAAGATAAAAATATTTTATACTATGAAAGATTTTTGGGGGGATGAAAATATTAATCAAGGAGAAAAAAATTTTAAATATATAAAAAATTTTTAAATATAAAATTCCATGCTACTAAAAAAAGAGCTCATATATATATTTTAAATGAATAATTTTAGGTAGCAAATCCTGGTGGTATTTAGGATTCCATGCATATATTTAAAGAATATTCTAATAGTCTTATTTTTAAATATCAATATTGACAACATTCTGGAAATTAAATCCTTTATAACTACTTTAAGTCAGGATGTATTTAAGATGTTCACTTTAAAAGGTACAAGGAGGTACACAGTATATACATTTCAAAATTCTTTTGGAAGCATGAGAATAAAAAGTTTGAAAATGAAAGATATCAACAGTTTCCATATCAATGTGTTTACATGAAAACAGATTCCATGCTATGGATACAAAATGGACATGACACAGACATTAAATGGATTTAAACAGAGTTTAATACCTAGTAAAATAAAAAATATACCTTTCATCTATAAATCCCACTTTTGAGAATCTATTTCACAGAAATAAGGTACCAGTTGTGATGATATTCACTGCACAATGCAAAACATGGAGAAAATCCTATCAATGAGTAAGAGAACAACTTAATAATTATGGTACATCCATACTATGCAACATCGTATCGCTACATAAAATAATGAGTTAGATCTATAAGGCTATGAGGGATATCCATGGTATACTAAGAAATGAAAAAGTCAAAGGCAACTTGCAGAGTAATAGGTATAATATAAACCAATTTTTAAACACAAAAATCACTATACACATATATATCTCCCCCCAAAAAACATATGGAAAGAAATACACCAACGTGTGTTATCTCAGGAAATTGGGGCAGGAAAAAACCTTTCCTTATATATTTCTACATTCCCTTACAACTTGAATAAGGAGAAAAATAAACACATTTGAGTGTTTTTCAATCTGAAAATAGAATCATGATTTAGAAATAAACAGAAATTCAAGTATTCACTTAAAAATTTAAAAAGTTAGCATCCACCAACATGATACTGATTTCTGTGAAAAGACAAAAAAGTGGGTGGGTGGGGGGAATACAAGATAAAAGGGCACAGAATTTATTTCAGTTTTGTGCTATGAACAAATAATTTATTTGGGGCTGCATTATGCAAAATCAAATTAAAACTTACCGTACAACAGTATTGAAGGGCTATTGCATTTAAAGTGTCTCCTTCCTGTATATCTTTTGTTAATACTATAATGTCATCAAGTCTATCTTTTGATGTACTTCTTCGGATTTTTTCTTTTCCTCTGGATCGAAGCTCATACACTTCAGCATCCTCCTCCAACATATCATTGTCTGTACAATTTCCAAATGCATGTACTTGACCACTTGAATGAACTCCTGGAAGAGGAAAACTACGATTCTGATGCCTCCCTGCCATAATGTCAAAATCTGGTAGGGAAAGAAGGCAGAGAAAACTTTGGAATGTAGCTGATCCATTTGACTAATTTACATGAATCTTATATTCAGGACACTTTATCTTTTGTTTTTTAAAGAATGGTTTTAGGTTCAAGTTTTATTGTTGTTGAAGTACAATGAACGTATTTGGCAATGGAGACAATGGGATGGTAGGAGGAAGTAATCCATTCTTATAGACCATATATCACAAAACATGGTGATGATTACATTTTAACAAGGGCAAATTGCTATATTCTTTTAGGTCAAAAAATTAAGTTTCCCCATTCTGAGTACGTGAAGCAAATTACAGAAATAATTTTGTATTATGTCTTAAAAACGTGTGATCATATATACAATTTACAGATCTGACAGAATCAAAGTATATGTTTTATATGTACACACACAACACTTTTATGAACCCCAAACTTTGAGTTGTTCTGCATTCTAAGTTCCATGGGATTGAACTGTCTTTTGAACCCCCTAACTACTTCCCTGGATCATGCTGATTTCAGTATTTTTATTTAGTATAGTATGTGCCTTCTATACAGGTCATAATTTTGCTCTCAACCAGGGATTTTTCTTCCCTGGCAGCTTTTCACCAAACTTACCAAAGTCCTCATGAAACTCAATTTATGGTCTATAAAGATTGTGAACAGATTATAAGTTCTACATTCATTCCTACTTCAGAAGAGGCATCTTAAGACTGACTGAGATGAGAGCTGACCTAAGTGCACTCACTGTCAACTCACCTTCATCAAGTTAATCTCCTCATTAAAAAAGAACAATAAGCGGGAGAAGCTCTCTGATGGGAAGGGCACTGGGTGCTACATGTTCCGAATGGATGACTTTGATGTGGGGATGCCACGATGCATGGCAATGCTGCCCGTGTCATCAACCACTCCTGTGAGCCCAACTGCTTCTCTCAAGTCACCCACGTGGAGGGCCAGAAGCCCATCACCATCTTCACCTACCCTGCACTGCACCCTGCATGGTGAGGAGCTCACCTATGACTACAAGTGCACCACTGACGATGCCAGCAACAAGCTGCCCTGCAACCGTGGCGCCAAGTGCTGCCGAAGCTGTGGCTACCTGTCACAGCCCCTGCTGCCAGCTTGCCCCTAGCCTGGGGACTCCCTCACCCCTCCCAAAGCATCTCACCCCACCCTCATGTTCAGGGTGGATGTGGGCATGCAGGTGGTAAGGGCCCTGCCTCCACCCTTCCAGCCCGCCCACGCAGCAATCACCCCCTTCCTGCCCTGGGGGCCCAGAACAGATACTGTACAAAGGTTTCTAAATCCCTTCTTATCTATGTTAAGAGGGTAGGATCCCAGGTGGAAACCAGATCCCTGCCCCCATAAAGTCTGTCAATGTTAAAAATGAAAAACAATACAAGAACATAAAAAACTATTACCACATTCACAGTTTTAGCTTCATATTAATTGTTCACATAAGAAAGGATAGTAGATTATCCTCAATTATTGTGAAAGATGGAGAGTAGAGAGGTCGTAAGAGGAATTTGGGGAGATAAAATACTTAAGGCTTAATGATGTGGCTCAGATATGAAGAGAAGTTAGTTAAGGATCACACCAAGACTTCTGATTTGCATCCCTGAGTAAATGGTGGTGCCATTCTCTAAGATCTGGAACACTGGAAAAAGAGCTTGGTGGGGGCGGGGGGGCTTGGTGACGCTGACTGTAAATTCCTTTAAGACAACCAAAAAGAATGTCAAGTAGTCAAGTGGTCTGTGTAGTCAAATTCAGAAAGGTCTGGGTGATATAATTTCATGACTCATCTGCACATAGGTGGAAACTGAAGCTGTGTAGATGAGATTACAGAGAGAGAGAGACAGAGACAGAGACAGAGACAGAGAGAGGGAGAGAGGGAGAGAGGGAGGGAGGGAGGGAGGAAGAGAGAGAGCAGGCGCGCAGAATAAGAGGGTCCAAGACTGACCCTTGAAGAACTGCTACATTTAGTACCTAGACGAAGGAAAATCAGACTGCAAAGACGAAAAGAAGTGTTCAGAGGAGGAGGAAACCAAGAAAATGTTGTGCCATAGAAGCCAAGACTAAATGATGTATCAAAGGCAGTTGTGAATACTGTGGACAAGTACCAGGTGAAAAAGAAAAAAATCGAAAAAGACCAACTCCCAAAGTCTGAATTTGTAATATACATGACAATAGATTACATACTCTCTATGTCGGGACATACTTTAAAATTTGGGGAACTATTTCATATCACTGAATAGAACCCTTGAAAACCAGTTTCTGACTCTGCTCTGTGGCAACACTGTAATGCTTCAAAATCTCAAAGGTTTCTATTCAGATAACATAAATAACTAATAGCTATATATTAAGTCGATAATTTCACCTGTTCTCCCAAGAGCTACATTATTTATTGAACTGGAATTCCTAACTCAACAGCCACCAAACTAAAGAAAGCTACCACATTTTACATCTTAAAAGCAGTTTTAAAGTCACACCTGTTCCTTCAAGGAATTCTAACAAGTGACAACTCTAACAAGCTTAAAGATTAAACTTGTTTTAATACCATAATAAATTAAGGATGCTTTATTTTTATTCTGTTCTCAAAAAAGTTGAAAGAGTAGAGTATCTCACCTTCATCTAAAACAGATAATAATTTCCACTTATTTTACAGTCTTTCCTGTCTTTAATGTAGGGAATGTCTGTGAATCCTGTGGATTCCTAGGCAAAATTTTATACATATTTACATTTTTCTGGGGATAATATTTATTGTTTTCATATTCTCAAAAAGTTTAAAAAGTTATGAACCACTTAATATACAGCGATTTACCCATGGCTATACTGACTCAGTTATGCTGCCCTTTAGACGTTTTTCCCCTGATAATTTGGTCTTAGAACCCCAAACTGGCTTAGTACAGCTGAAATTCACTGAGCAATGCCCCAAAGCCATTTTAGACACTTATATCAACGTCTCTCCATGATATGTTGCTAAATAATATTTAAAGACTAGAACGTCATCTGTTTCACGATCTCTTCACTCCGCTTGGAATGAAACGCAGGCAGTAGAATACCACAAACTGTGTAGCCTGTTTCTGAATAATCAAGAATTGGTTGTGCCCCTAATTGACGCGAAAAGGTAGACTCTGGCCCAGGCATATAATTATCTGAGCCAAGTATATAGAGATTAGAAAGTACCCAGCATTCAAGTCATCTGGTTCAATTCTCTTCACCTGTCATAATTCTCTTAAGGCAGGGAAAAAAAAAGCACAAATACCCCCTTCAGAAAACTGAAACAAGCCTGCATGCTACATAGATGACAAGAGTAACACAATGGATACCGTGTTGAAGCACTCATCAGCTCACTTTCTGACTGAAAATGATTTCCCAAACGCCTTCGTGCTGCATAAATGCTGTTGGGTGTTACGCTTTGACATTCCTTAAGCAGAGAGCAATAAAAGGGCCACAGGTCACAATCCAGTTCAGCACTGGGACAGTATCACAGGGGCTGTACCTGCCAGGGCCAATTCAGTTTCTAAAAACTTAACTTCCCTCCTCCTCCTTTCCACACGTCTTGTTTTTTCTTTCCCTGTTACCCCCTGCGAGAATTAAATCTCAGATCTCTACCTTACACCATCACACTTGGACGATGTGGACGAGATGCTGTCAACGAATATTCAACAGAGACACGAAGTTGTAGGAGAAATGTAGTGTGTCTAGGTGGGAAATGCGCTGCTCCGGGATTGGGGCAAGTAGGAGTCCTTCCTCTGAGCCTCAGTTTCCCCGACAGTGTAACAAGGGGCTTTGGTGGAGCTGGTCTCGAAGGTCTCCCCTGCCTCGGAGTCTCTTCCACGCGGGCTGGGGTCCAAGCCCCAACCAGGTGCCTCGCCACATCTGCGGCCGCGGGGTCCGCGCCGCCTCCAGCGAGGGTGCAGCTGGGGCCCAACCCCGCCGGCCGGGACCCGGCCACCCCCGACCTCTCACCGCGATCTTTACCTGTCCCGTTAGCAGGCGGGACTCAACGAGGAGACGGCTACCAAGTCCGCCGCCGCCGCCGGGGAGGCCGTCCCGGGCCAGTTCATGGCCGAGCCTCCGTTTTTGGCTGCCCCTGTAGACCGTCACCGCCGCCGCCAACGTCTCGGCCTTTCGTGCAGTGCGCCGCCGCCACGTCCGCAAACCTGCCGTGCGTCATCGCGTCAAGTGGGCGGAGGTGGGAAGGGACCTGGAGGAGGCGGAGGCCGGGGCGCGAGGGCGAGCCTAGAACCTGGGGCCCCCCAACCACAGGCCTACGCGGGCGCGCAGACGCAGAGATTCCGCCGCAGCCCAGGAGTAGGGTCCGGTTCCAGCCCCGCCCCTGACTCCTCCCCTTCGGCCCCGCCCCTTCATCCCCAGTAAGTAATAGATCCAGGGCCAAGGCCCGGGGCTAACCCGGCGGCCCGGGCCGACCTTCCGGCTGCGCCTTTGTCCTTCGTTCGCACAGCGCTGGCAAAGGCTGGCTAGAAAACACTGAGTGGGGAGGTGCTAGCAGGGGATTTGTCGGCGGCTGTTGTGGATTTCCTCTTGCTCTGCATCTGGAGGTTTCTGTGTGATGGGGAAGGACTCCCCAAAGCATAGTATCGACATCCATGTTTTAGATTGTTCTGTGCTTCTAACTATTCCTGCTGAATCCTCTAGACTCCTGCAGAAAAGACAAAATGCTGGAGAAAAAACCCTTGGGCGGCGGGAGACAGTTGTTTCAGCCTTTGTGTTTTTAGGTGAGGAAAGTGAGCCACCTAGAGTTAGGCCCCGGGAAGTAATTGCCCTCGAGCCCTGGTTCCAGGCTTCCTATTCTCAATGAGACAAGGCTGTCTACAAGTTATAACTTATTTTGTTTTGAAAATTAACTGAAAGTCTACCAAGTCAGTTTTGGAGTCAATAAGATATTAGTTTGAAAAATGACAAATTCATGACCTCGTATATGATTCTTCTCAGAAATTTACTGAATGAGTATGATAATGTGTTTGAATTTATGTAAATGAGTGTAAAGCGTTTTAACGATGTGCCTAAAGTCTCCCAGTGTTGACGTTAGACTTTGCACTTTGACGACCGTGCTGTCTTATAACAATATACATTTTAGACCCAAACAGGCAGGGTGCAGGGTGTAGGGCACTTCTTTTCAGAATGTCTGAATATTTATGCATCATGAAACCTTTGAAGCTTTGTTTCAAATTATTCTCAAAGAGTGCGTTTTTTGTTTTCTGGGAGGTGCCTCAATAAAGGTTAGGAATTCTGCATTGCAGTATTTTTGTTTTATTTGAGGGGATAGGCACTGTGCTCCACAATCTGTAAAAAGAACTGGAGGAGAAGAAGACTTTTAAAAAAATGTTTTTTAAGTTCGTCGGAGCTGTTCTGTATGCTGTTGCCCTTGTGACACCCCTGTCTGTAACCATTTACCACTGAGACATTTTCTCATCGGTAAACAAAGGATATATTCCCTACTTGATGTGTAGGGCTCAAGCTGCTCAGCCTTCATGAATGTTAATGTGAATACAACCTTCTTTCTGCATATAGGTTACTTTTCTTATTTTAATGTCAATAGGCAGTGGAATCCATGTGAAAGCCCGAGAGATAGAATTTCAAGCACTTCTACAGGACTGCTACCTGTTTCCTTTGTATAAATACTTTCTCAATGACATGTGCATGCTCTTGAACCATTATTTATATTTGACAAAGGTGCAGTTATTGAGCTTTTTACAAAAAGACACTAATAGAATTATATCTTATTATTAGAATATACAAAGGAAGCAGTTAGCCATGAATTTTGGCCAAGTTCCAAAAAGCTGGCCAGAAGGAACAAGTACTTTGTCCTTGAGAAAAAGGATGTCCCTAGTGCTGAGCAAGGCCACAAGGATTTTCAGTTTTTTTAGATCTCATCTGACACAGTTTTTATTAAAAGGCTGTCGATGAAAGAATATGTAGTTTCTATGAATGTGTATTTCTGACATTAAACATTTAGGTTTTGTGGTTTGCCCCAGAATAAAAATTGTATTTTAATAAGAGTGTAAAGTTGTAAAGTGATGCAACCAGTTAGGAGTGTTACTTGGAAATGTGAAAGTTAAAAATGCAATTGACTGAACTAGTACATTGAAAAGTAATTACCTTGGATTCACTTACAGATAAACGTGTAAGATTTAACAGATAGGTTCAGGAATGTTTACTACAGTAATAGCCAAAAATCTGAAAATATTCTAAATGTTCATCAATAACAGACTGGAAACTTCTGGTACATTTAAATAATGCAATATTATGCCTTTGCTCAAAACAATGAAGTTGTTTTTCTCATTTTCTAATTTATTCATTCATTTACCTAACACATTTTTTCTGGAGAAAAAGTATTTGTGAGACCTTTGTTCTAGGCATTGGGGGTACAATGCTTAAAAAGACAAAGTTTCCTTATTCATGGAGCTTCCATGACTAGATACATGGAAAGGTCTCCAAAATGTATTTTAAAGAGAAAAAAGTAAGCTGCCACATAAGAGGTATGTTATTCTTTTGTAATAAAATTTTAAATGCACAGCCCTCATCGCCCCTCCCCACACACATTCATATATCTATATAGGAAAATGCATTTAATTTTTCTTTCTAGAAAATTACTAAAGGAATTTTTAACAGTGATTGAAAGGACTAGATGTGGCAGGAAACTTTGCCTTTTCTTTTTAGACCTGTCTACATAGACTGAATTTTTATTACCATGTGCTTTTATTATTATTTAAAAATATTAAGACTGAACACATATTATTGATGAATAACTGGACTTGTTTTATCCACAGTTAACCAATAGTCAACCATGCACTCCTTAATCATTCCTGAGTCTCTTTGTACCTTGTGTTCAAGTAGTGAGTGTCTGTAAAAAAGAACGAGATCAAATCTGGTTCTTGGAAATCAAAAAAATGAAAGAGTAATGGAACATTTAATTCTTTTTATATTTCTTCTTTATTTCCCTCTGCCAGGTTTCTTTCATCCTTGCTTCTTAAATCTTTGCTCCTTCTTGTATCCTTTTATCAGCTGTTCCTTCTCATTCTACTTTCTAGAAGCAAAAGACTGTAGTACACCAAGGAAATACTTAAATGAATTTAAAACTGGATTATGAGATGAAACCTAAAAAACCCCTCATCTCTGATCTTCAAACTATCTATATGTAGAAAAAATTATTGTGTCTCTTCTCGAAAAGTCTTGAAAAAAACAAACAAACCAGACTGCATGATTCAGATTATGTTCTGCTAGAGATAAACCAGATGAGCTCCCTAGTTGCTGTTCACCCTGTGATTTTAAAGCATAGCAATTATCATAATCACAGCTCTGCCATAACGTGGATAAAAGAAGAGTCAAGTATACTTCAGGAATTCAGAGTTGCTTATAAATGCAATTATAAATGCATTTATATATGCAAATATAAATGCTTATAAATGCAAATAAATGTCAGGGATATTAACTGTGACTTGAATGACTTCAAAAGTCTCTATCTATACAGACGTTACTAGATGAAAACTAGACTCAAAATACTATTCTTAACTTCTTTAGCTAGGTAGTTGTTACACATAGAAAGCAATAGTTATATATGTTTACAATTAAGTAGACTATAGTTTGTTTTTTTAATAAATTTTCTTATTTTTGGCTGCGTTGGGTCTTTGTTGCTGCACACGGGCCTTCTCTAGTTGCGGTGAGCCGGGTCTACTCTTTGTTGTGGTGCGCAGGCTTCACATTGTGGTGGCTTCTCTTGTTGAGGAGCACGGGCTCTAGCCACACGGGCTTCAGTAGTTGTGGCTCGCGGGCCCTAGAGTGCAGGCTCGGTAGTTGTGGCGCACGGGCTTAGTTGCTCCGTGGCATGTGGGATCTTCCTGGACCAGGGCTCCAACCCATGTCCCCTGCATTGGCAGGCGGATTCTTAACCACTGCACCACCAGGGAAGTCCCAAGTAGACTATAATTTGAAATGCCTTGTTTCCTGTGAGCTCTACAATTACTGTGGCCACATAAGTAAATTGGGGCAGGTGAATGCCCTAGGATCTATAACCTGCTTGTTGCTTTGCCTACTCCCCCAATGACCTATGACGGTCAGACAAAATTAACTGAGTCCACTTCACCAAAGGAAAACATGATAGATGACCTAGTCAATGGAACTGGGTGAGGGCATCTGGAATTGGAGGGCAAGTCAAAATAAAGTCCAGAGAGTGGATATCCAGTTAGATTTCTTAGGTATTCAGTAATGTGCTCATGGAGTCAGGAAGATCAGGAGGTGGGGAAGCATAAAGAAAAAATGAAGACATACATGGAAAGATCTCCAAAATGAAGACACAAAAGTGTTTTCTTGTTCTAGTCTAGGTCTTTCTAGATAGTTAAGAGACCACTCCCGTGACAGTCCTTAGCTTAATCAACAGTATTTGAAAACACAAGATAGAAATTCAAAGCAAAGCTTCCATGCCCATATAAAGAATCATAGAACAGCAAGGTGCATATACCTAATGAGAAGGTAGTGCTCATCTGACAAAATATAGACAGAAATTACATCTATTCATTTGACAAATATTAACTAAGCACCTACTGGATTTCAGGCTCTGTTTTAAGCACTGGGGATCTGTAGTAAACAATCAGGCCCAAATCCTTGTTTTCATGGAGCTGAGTTTCTTGTGGTGGAAGAGAGATAAAATAAATAAATGAAACATTAGTATGTTAGATAGTGATAATTTAATGGAGGAAAACTAAGTAGGGAAGGAGGTTGCTGTAGTTTGTTGTTTTTATTGAAGTATAGTTGATTTACAATGTTATGCCAATGTCTGCTGTACAGCAAAGTGACTCAGTTATATACATATAGACATTCTTTTTTGCAGTGTTTTGGGTGAGGGGGGGGTTGCTTTTGCAGTTGGGTAGGTAAGGAAAGGCCTGATTGGAAAAGTGATAGACACAGGCCTGAAGAGAGTCAGTTTGTGAGCCATGTTGGCACATGGG